CTGTCTTCAGTCCTTTCTACGTCCCAAAGTTGATGTGTTGGAACCAGGAAGGGCCACACTGTGATAGGGAGATGACTGGGTCAGAGCATCTCCCAGTCTGCAAGTCTTGGTGGGTGTTGTTGGGCTGCAGTGGTTAGTAGCTACCAACAGTGTCTAAGGAAGGAAACAGGGTCATGGACGCCCACGGCTCACTGATGATGAGGTTGATCTACTGTAAAATAAGCTTTTACATTTCATTCATCCTTTTCAAAAGATTCCATTTTGTTTGAATCTTTATTAAAATAGGCCAAAATAAGAAATCTAGAGTGGAGACTGCTAAACTTTCATTCCTTTTGCATATTTTTTCACACCTAGAGCGGTGAGGCTGTTGGACTGGTCTAAACATTCTAATTCTTCCTCCTTACCGGAAGACTTATGAACCAGTGCCCCTTTATCAGGAATCAGTTGGTGATTGGATGCTTTAAATGAAGGATCTAAGGAAAGGACGTCTTTATGTTGTTAATAGTGTTTCCTCGAGTTATCTCTCATGTTTTTCTCACATCTTATGTTGTTGTGAATAAGACTCAAGGAAAAGATGAGGGAAATTAAGAGACTTAATACCCTTATAAGAGACTTGGGATGACCTGTTGATTCAAGTCCATGGCCTGTTCCTGTGGATGGGTCACGTGACTTCTATTGACAGCTTTCAGATAAGAAACAGCAGAAATGACACAATGACAAACTCAAACTGGTTTAAATTGGTCTGAAATACAGATGATAAACAGACAAATTGTTCCTCATGTCAGAATCTGTTTATTTCATTTGTTAAAAATAGACTATGGAACAATCCAATCAAATCACATGATCAATCTGTCCTCTGATTGGTTCACTGTTTCTACAGCTTTTAAAAAAAAAATAGACCTATACAGTGATTTTTGTTTTAAGATGAGAGGTCAAAGTTCATTTGTTGGATCAGGTGCCAGAGGTCAGGTCATGTGCTTAAGTGTGTGTGGGAATGCGTGGGGGGGTTGGTCAGAGATCGGTGTCTCTCTGTGCCTCCATGGCTCTCTGCATCTTCTCCACCATCCATGGAGGAACTGAGAATGGTTTCAACTCGTCCATCTTGACATCTGGACAGTCCCTGAACACACAGACAGCTGTTACCATGGTAGCCAAACAGAGTGACACACCTGTGAAGGAGGTTACCATGGAAGCAGACAGGCGCCATCAGACTCACTTGTACTCTTCACTGCGGAAAAGATCCTGGATGTCCTCCTCAATCAGCAGGTAGGCCTGGACAAACCCAGGTGTTAGTGCACAGATTTCAGGTGCAGTCTGAATCCAGAATTTCTGTTGCCAAGTTCAACTTTTACCTTTTTCATCTCACAGAGACATTTAAAACCTGGTTCAGGTAAGAAACCTGTAGCTTCAGTAAAATATTTTTATGAAAGTGCACAAAACAAAAAGTTTCCTGATGAAACCAGAGCTGGACAAATAATTGATTTTCTGATTTCTATTTGAACAATCCAGTACCGATTGTTAAAATCTTTAGCTTGACCTTTATTTGCTACTTTTCTTGGTCAATATATTTGTTTGTGCTAAATGTGGTGTGTGGTTCAGTTATTACGTGTCCTATCTGCACTGAAATGTGCTGCTGACAGTCCATTTATTTGAATTTGTTTCAAACCCTACTGTTAGTTTCTTCTGTGAAACCTTTTGTTCCAATAATGTGTCTCAAAAAAAGAAAACTTGATTACTTGATGTCCTGCAACAGCCCTGATCCATGTTACATTACCAACACTTCCTCAAATTTATTCCACATTAAAGTCTACCGGCAAAGTAAACAGTAACACTTTTAATGTGAAGAATCAGGGGGAAGTGTTGAGCTTTATTCATGGTAGTTTGCTGGAAGTGAACACATGATGTTGTACTGATGAACTTTTAATAAAAAGTGTTTGTTCTCACCATCTTCCCTCCTGTCGCTCTCATGTGGTGTTTTTCAGCCAACCACTGCTTGTCCTTTGCATCTGCTGCATACTGATACGTATACAAGCATAGAGACAACAGATTATTGTTAAAGTGCAGTGAACACATATTAATGAACTGCTCACACTCAAACCAGTAAACTTTACTACAGGACCACCTCTATCTAACAACTATGAAGAGACAAAAACTGCTCTCCTGGACACTGAATGTGTTAATGCTGGGACAGGACACGACAACATTCATAAGCTGCTTCAGAGCAGCCTCCATGTTTTTACAGCGTAGAAACACATCTTCAGATCATTTACGTGTAAACAGATGTTTTGAAAAAAAAAATCAACTGGACTTGGTTTTAGGTAGAACACCTTTCACCTCTCATCCAAGAGGTTTCATCAGTTCTGTCTGACTGGTGGTGAGCAGGAGGTTTTTAATCCCCCTGGGTGGTGTTTCTACCTAAAACCAGGTCCAGTTGATGTTTTCTATTTACAGCTTACTATAACCTGGATGACTGAGAATTTGCACAAACAGATGCTTTGTGTCTGGATACACATGTCTATGAATAAAATGTCCTGACCACTCATTTTAAATATCTGAATTTGTAAGGATTGTAAAGGATGTAAATATCGCCAGAGCAGCAGGTTACTTAGCTTTAAGACAGACCGTTCACTGTGTGTGTGTGTGTGTGTGTGCACAGAAGACACATTGTGGACACTCCTACCTGTGTGTGAATGCAGTGTAACACTGTTTGTGTTGTTACCTTGAACAGGTCGGCGTGTTTGATGTAGATGCGTCCTCTGGTCCCGCCCATCCCTAGCGCCCTGCACAGTGACATCACAGTTCTTGAGGCGGTTGCACCTCTGAATGTAATACTCATACTGGGACCATCTGACAGGCATCATCTCATTAACTGGGGGAATCTGTGGAGTTTACTTTCTATGCGTTTATTTTATAAACATTTTGAATGAAGAACATGACTGAGTGTTCATGTCTCTGTGATGACCACACTTGATTTCCATGTCCATGCCGCACTGCGCTCTTTTGCACTGATCAATATCTTTGTCACACCATTAATAGTTTTTAAAAGTAGCTCCAGTTTCACATGATGTTCACATTTATCTAACAGCTGAAACGTTTACCAAGTTACATGTGACTGGGCATACTCAGATTGACAAGACCGCTCTGTCCCTTGTGATTGAGGTGTGGAATAAACAAACCATCAGAGACACAGTCGCATTCATGTGTTGTTGACTCACTTATTGGCTCTGGAGCCCAGAACGAACGTGCTGCTGTCATTCAGTCTGGATGGATCCCACTGAAATACACACAGGTAAACACACGTTGATATGATGAAGCCCTGCAGTTTACCTATAGCCTGTGACTCCTGACTTTGCAGGTTACACAGCTGAACCAACCACTGTGTCCTGTGACTGCACGTTTACAGGTTTCATCACTTTATCAGGTGATGTAGACATACCGTATCTCAAAGGTGTGTGGCAGGTGAACTACATACAGCCTCTCTACTATCTTTTGTGCAGGTGAGGAGAACAGGTGTGTGCTCAGATTACTGTTACTGCCATTTTCCAACCAAAAACTCTTAAGCTTCTTTGCAAAGAACAACCAGAGCTTTATGAGGAGGAGGGCAGGACCTCCAGCCGCTGGCCAGCCAGCTGTTAAATCATGTGACAGTTGACAGGTAGCTGGCAGACGTGCAAAGTAACATTTAGTACAACTACTACAATAAGGCACTTCAAGTCCTCGTGGCTGCTCATTTTACTCATTTCCAGCTATTTAATGTTTAAACCTGGGTATCTCTAGATTAGCTTTGCACCCATCAAATATTCTGTAATTATTTCAGAATGATAAAACCCAAGAACACATGGCACAGCGGTGCAGTGGTTAGCACTGTTGCCTCACAGCAGGAAGGTTCCGGGTTCAAGCATGGGCCGATTCCAGCTTCCTCCCACAGTTGAAAGATATGCATGTTAGGCTGATTGATGACTCTAAATTGCCCATAGGAGTGAGTGCGAGTAACACTCTAAACAAAGTGGGTAACTGAGGATCCCCATATTTTAACTGGCATAATTCAGACATAGTAACTTCTCCAGACTTACAACAATTCTCTCTAACTTACAGAAATATGGTATTAACAGACGCAACCTGTGTTTTTTAACCTTAGTGTTACGTCCCACCGAGTAGTGGAAGTAGCTCCAAGGTCGGTAAATCCAACCGGTGGTCACTGCGTCTTCCCCCACACGACCACATACAGTCCCAAAGCAGTGAAATTAATTCCAACAGGTAGCGTAGCACTGACAATAACATCATGGGTCGTTAATCCGCTAGTTAACCAGCAACACCTCACATGCAGCAGACACACTGGCCTCAAGCAGTCAGAACAAACAGGTACTGTGCTCCAGGGGAATCCAGGTTCGGGGTTCAGTCACTAGCCGACTGCTTGTAGGTTAGACCCAGTCAGGTAAAACAGTGAATCCCTGTACAGGAACATTCCAGCACATGCAGTAACCTCAGGCCCTGTATCTTTCTCCACATCCTCTGGCCACAGTGCAACAGCGGGAGGGAAAATATATCCACAAAACCAGGAGCAGTCGAAAAATTCTGCTTTTACAAGGGCACCTCTGGATGTCAGGAAAACTCACATGAACGTGCAACTGCCTGGAGATTATGACCATTCAAGGAAATCCTTAAACTATCAGGTAATACTCTATTTTGTTAGAAAAAAAACATCTCGTGAGTTTGCAAGACTTGTATAAACCGAGTTGCTTCTACAACATCATAGGTACACCTCATTTTTTTGAGCTTTCAGTCACATTTAAGATGATAATTCATCAGTGTAACATTGTAGAGAAGTCAGAAAATACAGAAAAGTGCCATGGGACACTAGTGTAGTGACTGGTAGTGTGGGCCCACTTTAACATGAAGGGTTTATAAAGTATAAGGTTTTACCATTAAACCCAGCACTTTACATATACAGTACTGCATACACTATATACTGTATACACATACACATATATTTTATCCATACCCAATATATTTGTTAATATCCATCAACACTTGAGAGGACTGTTACTTGTACTTCCAGTACTACAAGTATAAATAGCTGGTAACAGTTTGCACTTTTAGTGAAGTAACTTTTTAAGTGTAGTACTTTTAGGCTACTAGTATTTTTACACTGGTGTTTCAGCTTCTACTTCAGTAAAATACCCGAGTACTGATGTGTACTTATTCCACCTCAGTTCTGTCCTCACAGATCAGGAAACATTCAGTCTGCAGATGTGTTCAAACCCCTGGATATAGGTGTATGCTGTGACATAACAGGTGTGCAGACAGACTACAGGTGTAACACCTGTTTTCAGGCACACACTGCGTGATACAGCTGTTGTATCAGACCTGTGGTTGTGTCCTGGAGCAGCTGAATCTCTGACACACATCACCTTTACACCAGTCTGATGAAAACACCTGAATGAATGTCTCTGTAGGCGTGATCTGACTCACCTTTGGTCCTTCTTTCTTGATGGGATCAGACTTCAGCTTCACTCTAAGTACACAAAGAGTCAGGCAGATGTCAGGTGTGGTAATCTACCTAGATACTGATGATGTCACCTCTCTGTCAGGTACTCACTGAGAAGAGAAAGTCTGAGGTCGATCACAGGAGACGAGCGTAGCACCTGGACGAGCTTTCCTCTGAAGACAGAAAGTAATCATAGTTATTGATCAACCCTGTCACCTCCAGCTGTTTGTAAGACAGCAGTTGATCACCTGACCTCCATGTTAGAGGGTGGAACTTTGACAGCTGATTTAAAGGACCATTCAGTTTTATAATGTCTGTGTATTTCTGCTATTTTCATATGAAGCATCAAGGCAGGTTGTTTTTAGTTTACACGGTTTAATTTGTGAATGTGCTGTGTTCAGTTACACCTGCAGAGGTGTGCTCGGCAGCTGAGGTGAACACAGTCCTGTCAGGAGAAACCACCTGTACGTTCCTTCTGCGCATGGTTTGTACTTTAATACTAAGGAACACTTTTATCTAAAATAAAGAGAGATAAAGGTCATGTGATATTTCCAGTGCGAGTCCAGAGATCAGGGGTTACAGTACCTTCTTCGGGAGGGGGCTTCCTCTCTGACTGCAGTCTTCATCACCAGGTCTGGGCCTCTGACATGACACAAAGAACCACATCAGAACCTGGTCAGAACCAGTCCTGTTTACAACCTGTTCCTGAGCATCTGTTTGACCAGTTTGAGGGCTTCTACCTTGATGGCAACTTCTGCCCCACCCCTCTTCACCTCCACCTCTGGAAACAGCTGTTTGGCCTGTTGACGACAGAGGAAACCGTGGCAATCACAGTGACACAGACAGGTGTTTTATTTATTTTACTTAATGAGGAAGATCCTACTGAAAGTATACATTCTCTTTTTTTTCAAATGGAACCCTACCAACACAACGGCTTTAACAAGTTGCATACAAACAAAAACAACTAAAATTTTAGCAAAAAAACAAAAACAAAAACACAAAATACTACATTTTTAGCTCAAAACAAGAACAAGAACAAGAATCATACACTAGTGAATCTACCATTTACCTAAACTTTGGCAAAGATACCAGATATGTTCAGTTGCTTTCTCTTTTTAAACTAAGTGTCTAGAGCAGAAAACACAAAGGCTTTCTTTCCCATCGCAGCTGAAAACTGTGACCTGAGATTATAACAGAAAGATGAGTTCTATGAGATTATTTTACAAAAATATGGGGGAGGTTACCTATGACAGCTGCATATATAAAGGCAGTGTTGGGAAGTAACTACAGTAATTAAATTACAAAATAAATGTAATCATGATCAGTTACAGTTACTGAGGAAAAAATATGCAATTAAATTATAGTTCCTGATCAAAATGGTGGTGATTACATCTGAATATATCCTTTTTGGTAAAAGCTTACATGTTTATATAGCATTCATTCTGTTGCTTTGCACATTTTCGCCATGTGTGAACACCTGTTAACATACGTCTAGACAAATGGCATCATCAAGGTGGCCAACAAAGAGCTGTCTCTATAGGAGTATTCCCACTATAGGAATCTACCGAAATGTGTCGTGCTGAGTAACACTCATCACAAGTTCCGTGTTTATTTCCACTACGATGCGCCCACTTTGGAGGTGCATTCTGGGAGCAAAATTCCAGCAACCCTCGGGAGGTAGTACTAAAATCAAGTACCAGGAATGTGAGGGGGGGGTGGGGTGTGTGTGTGTGCGTGTGCGCGCACAGAGCAGTCGCCGCTGATCGTTAAACGTCTCTACATCTTCACACCAAGTGTTAGCATTGCTGTTCACTTGCTGCCTAATTTACCCCCTATTAGAAAATACAATGGAAAAACAAAGCAGGATGTCGGCGTCGACCCCGGAGCCTACGCTCGGTGATGGTTAAGGGATGTACAGGGTATATCTCTCATTAGGCTCCCATAGTGAAAATGCAGCACAAGTCTACAGAGGCTCCACTCTTTTGACAGATTGGTTACATTTTGATGGGTTCTCGTACGACTTTGCACCGTCTCTCTTCTGCCAATCAAATCAACATACATTGCTCTAAGCAGCCTGGCTATGACCAGCTAACAATGCCAAGGCGGGTGGCCATGTTGTTGGACATGAACTCCTTTCAGTTCTGGAAAGTGAACAGTATTTCCTTCTGAAATAAGAAAAGAGTTTTGCTTGGTGCCTGTTCACTAGGCTGTTTCAACAGTAACTGAGGTTATGTTGAAGAGCCTTTAATATAAATTTGACAGTAATAAATGTCGATCACAGCTGTGAGTTTTACAATGCCTGGTTTAAATTTATGTTAGGACCTTTCAGTTTTACTGCCCAGTTTAAAACATCTTTTAGTAAACCAATCAAAAAATAAGTAACAAGTTACATTACTCTGATGAAGTAATTAAAATAGTTACACTACTTCTTACATTTTTAACAGAATAACTAGTAACCTGTGACCTCTTACATTTTGAAAGTCACCTTCTCAACACCGTATAAATATGTAGCAATGACTTAAATAGCACAGCGAGAGATGGGCAGCCCACTGTGGAGTACAGAATACTGTGATGGGGTAACACACTGGCATGTACTGTGCTTATTAAGATACTGAAACAGGGCATTAATGTAGAGCAAGTAACCGTAACCAAGGACAACAAAGAAGATGGCAGCAGCCAGTCTTTTCCTGGCTTCCAAGGAAGAACAAGGCTGGCATGTGAAATAACAGCCCAACTTCAGCCTGAGCTCCTTTCTCAGTTTTTCAACATGTTGTTTAAAGCAGAGTCCTTCATCAAGTCTCTCAGGATTTTATAACATGCAACATCATCTGTTTTTTCCTTTCAGATGTCCCAATATTGACTGTATCTGTTGGATTTGTTTGCATTTGACAACATTACCTTGGTTTTGTGAGCATTCAACACTGGGCAGCACTGAACACAGATTGCAGCTTATGAGCCACCTCTGTGGCCGAGCACAACCAGACTAGGGGTAGCAATGAGCATGGGCTCCACCATCTTTAACAACCATGTTGTTCATGTAAAGAGAAAACAAAAGCAGGCCAAGTACACAGGAAGTGACCTCACATGTTCCAGAATGTTCCTGCAGGTCTCCCTGATCAGCTGATCAGTGTGAACCTCGTCTCCAACGTTCTCCTTCACATTCTCCGCCGCCTTCTCAAAGAACTGCAACACAAATAACAAGAGCATCTGCTCACACCTGGTGAGTGGTAACACACCTGTCCTCACATAAATCCATAATATCACACACCAGTTTGATAAAACTTCATGATAATGAATACTAAGGATAAATCCCCATTCCCTTATTTGTTCATTCCCTGCTCCTCACTCGACCCAGAAATCATGCCGTCCACCATCTCGAAGGACATCCCAAAGCTCTTATTCCTGCTCTGATGAGCGAAGATGCTCCTGGAGGAGGCAGGAGCAAGGATACATGAGACCATCCTTCACAGAAGTCTTTTAAGGACTGACATGCCAGTTTACCACAAATCAGTTGGTGATTGGATGCCTTAGAGGAAAACACGTCATGTTGACATAAACATGTTTCCTCAGGTCCTCTCTCCTCATGTTTTCCTCATATCCTATGTGAGTGGGACTAAGACACAAGTGAGGGAAAAGCTAAAACAATTAAAGGACTCAACATGTGGACTACAGGCCTCTCGATTCGAACCACCAACCCTCCAGTTGGGAGATGACCACTCTACCCACTGAACCACAATCGCCCTGCAAGTTCGCATTTTACACTGATGAAAATAACAAAAGCTAGGAACTATTAAAAAGGAGTT